AAATAGCAGAAGATTTGCGCATCTTGCAGTAGTAGCTCGAGCTCGAAACTCCAGGTGTAAAAATCACGTCCGCTGAACACGGTGCTGGTGCGGATCTTGGAGATGGTAAGAAACTTGTTCTGAGCTGTGAGCACGGCTTCATCGCTTGGACGAGGGGTATTTGGAGCAGTGGAAATTGAGCCGATGTCGAAGGTGGTTGGACTCGGTTCCTTGGCTGGAGCGGTAGGTTGCTCGGAATGTGGCGCGGTTGGCTGGTTATCATTTTTCAATTGTTGAACTCCAGATTTCAGCGTGGCGATTCGCTGGATGAGTTGCTCCAGGAGCGCATTGCTGATGGTAGTAGTTCCCGCGGAATTCGCGGTTGGGTTGGTGGGAGGTTCGGCCGTGTTGGCCGCTTGCCTTCCAGATCCACCAGCCATATTTCGGCAAGAGCGCGTACCGGACGCCACCTTGAATTTGGTTTTGAATCAAAGGTGGTAGTGCGAAGAATCCTGAGTAGCTCTCATACCATGATACAATCTGAACCGTCTTATAGGATCGTCTCAGGTTGATCGCACGGAGTGTAGCAGCGGAAGGTTTTGAGTAATGTCGGGTGCGGACTCTGTCAGTAGGAGATTTGAATCTCGACAGCAGTGATTAACACAATGCGGTACAAGGGTTTATATAGGATTACAAGGGAATACGAAAGTTCCTAGCTAGCCATGTACTCTGAGGGGGTACATTCCCCTTAGGGCTAATCTAGATGCAGGACCACAACCGTGCGGCACGGTAACCGTACGCGGTTCGGTAACCGTTTGAACTTTTCCCGCACTTTTCATTTCGAATTCTTCCTGCTTGCAACCGTCTTCGATAAATGTCCGGACGCTTGGTCTTTCGTCCTCGCTGCAGGTAACTTCGCGTTAAGGTTTCGTTACTTTGGGAATGTTCAGTCATTCCATATCGTAACAATCCTAACGGTGCATTTTTCGTCGACAACGTTTCTTGTGACGACGCACTTTCTGTCCAGACTTGTAGTTGACGATTTTTGAAATATTTCGGCTCATGATCTTCCTAAACCGCGTCCTTAGTCTCTAACAGGCCCTACGATATCAGGAATTTTCCTCTGAAATTCCTGATTTTCAGCCTTGTTTTGTGTACCTACACTGATTTTTCTGTGTTGAGATTTTTGTGACTCCGATTTTTCAGCCTTTGTTTCATAGCTAACACTGACTTTTCAGTCTTTTACGGAAGTGTACACTGAATGCACATTCCGAATCATTCCCGTGAAACACTCGAAAGATTCAGTCAACCAACATTGAAACATTCATGTTAAACAAACGTAACACATTTGCAGCTAATAGGATGAACTGTCTCAGTGGTTAGCGAAATTGAAACCGAATGGTAAGGTACTTAGTTCAAACTCTCGGCAAACGTATTTCCTTGAGACCCTCCCCTTACACAAAGGCAGATTGTGATTGAAAATTCAGGGCCTACTTTTTGGAAACCCTGACAATTCAGGCTTTTTTTCAATAGGAGCCCTGGAAATTCAGGTTTTTTTCTCAGGGACCCTGATGCATCAACGTCCCTGAAAGTGAATATGAGGGCCTGGTCTCTAACATAATAGCCTCCCTCCCCATGGAACAGCGTTCCTAAAGTTGAATCTGAAGGCCTGGAAAGGAGCACTATTCTGGCAGTGGCACCATAAAGAGTTAAAAAAGGATTCGAGGAACTTCACATCCCTCGACACAGTCAGCTGTTGGCTGGTCAAGTCCCAAATCAGCCAGCCTTTGTGATCCTCAGCAAGCCTCAAGTGCACACCCCATCTCCTAGAAGCTTTCAGTTTTCCTCTTTTCTCCTTAGGCACATGAAACATCACTATACAGCCAAAGGCTCTCAGCATGTTGACTGCTGGTGCACTCCCATACCACTTGGTGTAGGGAACCCATTGCTTGTCCCCCACAGTTGCCAGCACCCTGTTCTTCACAAGGGCGACCTGCCGCAGTGCAGTCACCCAAAACGGATCCGGCAACCCTGCACGCCCAAGGAGAGTGCGAGCACCTTCCTGCATGGTCCGGTTGAACCGCTCAGCCACGCCATTCTGCTGAGGGTTGTAGGGCACCGTAAGCTGATGCTGGATCCCCTTCTTCAGCACCGCCTCAAAATCAGTGCCAATGAATTCTCCTCCATTGTCGGTGCGGATCACTTGCACCTTATGTCCGCTCTCCCTTTGTGCTCTCGGCATCCACTCCTTAAGAACATCCGTCACTGTACCCATCATGCAAGCCAACACTTAAGTTGCTTCAGCATGAGTTCATCTCACACGCGAAGTGCGTGTCACCCTTCGGCCCATCTCAAGAGAGTGCTCTCAGAATGGTTGAACTGGCGGCGATGTCTCATAATGTCATTCTCGTAGCCCCTGATCCCTCCGCAGTTCCACGAGCCTGCGAGGAACACATCCGCATGCGCAGTCACCAGCTTGTCCAATATGGCCACCACACCTGCCATTCACACACACGTGGACGCATGGACGGCGGAGGGAGAGATGTTACGCGGAGAGACGGATGCTCCAGAACGGTGGATGGCAGGCAGGCATGTGCATGTGTTTGAAGCGACTCGCAGCAAAGAGAAGCCCAACACAGAAAATCCGTGCTTTGTTGTCCTGCTGGGAGGGGGGCGGGGGCAAGAGACAGTGGGTAGAGAGTAGGAATCAGTGAATGGAAAATGAGCGTGCCGCGCACGCCAACAGCCAACAGCACGCCAGCAACACTTCTGTGTGACACAGCCCGGAGCTGCAAAGTAAGCGAATGTATTATGGTGCAGGTATACACATCATACTGCATCTCCATGGCCTGCCTGCAACATGCTGCATCAAGAATGGGTCACACTTAATCTTTGGTGTCGCAACCAGATCAGCCACAGGCCATGCAGAGAGCACGTACAGAAAAGCGCCTTAAGCCTGTCAGGTGCTAGCACGTACGGCCTGCAGCTCTCCCAAGGATACTCCACCTAGGCTGTATTGTACCTATGGACCACCATGAATCCCACCGTGATGGCATGCAAGCAGGAGGAGTGCCACCAACTCGTGCCATCAGCTCCACGGCGTGCACCAAGAGGAGTGCTGCCACACACCTGCTCATCGCACTCGCGCCTGGCTGCACCGCCTCTTTCTCCAAGAACCTGTCCACTCTTGCTCCCACCCGCTTCCCCCCGTGCCCCACGTGGAGGTGCACAGAGAGCGGTCGCACAGCCACTACCAAGGTTGGACTGGCCGATTGTTGGAAGGCCAAAAGCCTTGGCACAGCAGTGAGAAGGATTACTGGAACCCCAACAAATCTCCAACCTGACTTATCAGTGGTGCCCAATGATGTTCGTCTGGATCCAAACCAACCGCCCATCCCTCCTAGCTATTATGCAAGCCCTGATTTTCTTGCTATGGCATTCAGCATCTAGGTCTTATCCAGAAAGGGATTCTCGCATGCTATTGGAGCAAGTGAGGCTGAAGCTCCTCCCAATTATCGGACTATGTATCCCGCACGTACTCGCGCCCCTAAAGGTTCCCCACTATGCTACTCCACGCCCCGGGAGCAGTTCTGATCCGACTCGCTCTGCACTTTTTGCACCGAGTGCCCGATCCCTCCAGACAGACAGCATTGCCCCACTCGACAGCACCACCCACCCATACCAACTCGTCTCATCTGACAGCACCGGCCTTACCGATGGCATCGCCTTCCGTCCCCCCTCCCCCCGCTACCCCGTTTCGCTGCACTCCCTAGTGCTGGTATGGGCACCTTGTCCGTGGACTTGCCTATCATCGATCGCCGTGAAGTTGTTGACAATGTCACGCCCTCATATGCTTCCTTCTCCCACACCATCCAATCCCTTCAACTCGCATCGCCTTCCACGTTCCCTCATTCGCCATCAACCTCTGACCCCTCCACACCCCCACTAAAGCTATACCTACTCCCCGTGTCACTACCTCATTCTTTTGGCTGCAGCAAAAGTCACTGCTCTCAACAAACCACTCACCCTCCTATTGCCTACTTGAAGCATTTACTGACAAATTGTCTCTGCACGGAAACAGTGGCAATCCCCTGTGCAGTGCAACTGTCACTCCCCGTCCCACTCCTCATGACGTTCGCACCCTCCCTGCTTACCAACCTCCCACCTGCAACCTCCACAATGCTCTAGCCCGCCCAACACCTATCGCTTCAGATCCTTTGACAAGTGCAGCATCTTCTCCCCTCCACCCTTTCCCAACACCCACTCACTCCTCCTCCCTCTCAACCGTCGCAACCTGGTTCAGCCCTTGTCGAATCGGTTCGATTACGGCCCATGCTGGACCTCTAAATTCACGTCATCACCCCAGTTTGGGCTGAACCAGGTTCGGCCCGGCAAACCGGAGTGGTTCGATTGTGGCCCGGTGGTCAAAAGTCCAACCTGGCCGGTGCCTCCAGCCGTGGCTCGACATAAACCTCCCGAGCTCAGGGTTGGATCGTTTGAAACAGTTGTTTCCCACACAAATCCATTTAAACCCCCACAAGGTCCTGCTGGAGCTCAGTTTCGAGCTCTTATTTGACCCTGGGTTGTATTTGGTGAGCAATGGCGTTTGACCTATATGTATTCACATACCTTGTGCTTCTTCTGTTGTATCGAATTTGGATGCTCTAGACATGTTCAAACATCCTGCAACTAACAACCTTATAGGTTTCCTTTTTTACTACCGGAACACAGTGACTACAATTAAATACGGCCGGGCTGAGCTCGACCGTTTCACCAGCGAAGGTTTGACCCGAACCGTTTATGGCCCAGATAATAATAGCGAACCCGACCCGGGGATTTCCAAGGCCGGCCCGACAAGGTTCGGCCCGGGCCGAACCTACTTCTCAGGTGCTTCCTAGGCGGAGTCCCCCCCGGAAGCTGTCTTTGAACACTCACTCACTTTGCACGACATCCTGCTGCCTGCTGTGAGGAGCATGGTGTACATTCCAATGCCACGGAGAATACGATAGGCGCGCCATCAATCATTGCACCCTTGCTTGAGCATGCGCGAGGGCAGCAAGCAACCCACCTGGGTCAACGCGTTGACATGCGGCATAAGCTCACCCTTTATCACATGCGGTGATGCTGTCAGGCAGGGCCATGCTTCACTTTCCAACGCACTATGCGGCAGCAACCAACGCCACCAAGCATTTGACACACACACACACATACACATACATGCGTCATCATGGCAGCCTCGTGCGTGGAAGGGAAGAGGAGGCTCACCAGGGTCGAGGGTGTTGACATGCGGCATGAGCTCGTCCACCATCACTGTGCTCGCCACGTTCCTCCTCAGGCGCTGCAGCGCGGCAAGGGACGAGAGCAGCACAGCGTTGTCGCCCTGATACCATGCCACCATGCTCTGCCACGAGTCCGACCGCGCTGGCGCTGCCGACGTGTTGAACGGCACGTCCGCTGCTATGAACACCGGAATGCTGCTGCTCCAACTGCTGCTGCTGCTGCCGCTGTCGCCGCTGTCGCCGCTGCTGCTAATGTCGGTGCTGTCTCCAGGGATGCTGCTGTTATTTCTGGCACCAGGGCTGGAACCAGGGGCAGCAGCCTCAGCAGCAAGAGCAGCGAGGGCAGATGCAGGGTGGGCAGCAGCGGAGGGGTGGGAGAGCACGTTCCTGACTCGGGTGATGAGCTTCTCTGCCTCGCCCACGCACCACTCCAGTCTCTCCTGCACCATCGATGCATTCGCCCGCTGCCCTTGCGCCTGCATGTCGTCTTGCTGCACCGCACCACACCACACCGCACCGCACCACACAGTTGTACAACGAACACAAGCGAGAAAGGGTGAGTGGGGGCTGTGCTGAACTACTCTCACTAAAAGACATTCTCACAAACCGGCTCTCCCCCTCTTTCAATAAAAGACACTTCGATACATACACCTACCCTCCACTCTCGGTACACCACTCACCACTCTCACCTACTCTCACCTGTCACTCACCACCTCCTGACCCAACTCCCCCGCCCTCACCACACGGAAGGCGATGAACTCGGAGCGAAAGTGCACGGCGATCAATGGGCGAGGCAGCAAGGCGAGCAGGCGGGCAGCCGTGTGATGGTGGTGGCGGCTGTAGGGCAGCAGAGGGAAGGCGGTGTCGTCTGCATTGGTGCTGCTGAACTCCACTCGCTCCCACGTCGTCTTGAACCACACCACTATGTCCTTCTCGCTCCTGCCTCGCCCACATGCATGCATGCATTTATCCCGGGATGTGTGTGGGGAACGGAGTGGGAATGGGAACCAGAATGGTAAGGGTCAGAGGTGGAAGGAGTACAGCTGTAAGTGCAGTTCGTGAAGGACAAGATGCTGTTCTGTAATGTTTCTATACAACATGCACATGCTAGAATAGGAGGTGTAGAGTTGTTGGTTGTACCCTCCAACCACAATATGTGATTGATGCTTGGTTGAGTTCCCGAAATCTGTTGGAGCTCCTATGATGCTGGCTAAAACCTAACCAGCAATTATTGGAGCCTCCAATCATTGTTAGCCAAGCTTATCTATATTTGTCTGCTACCCTTTATATTCATAGAAAAAAAGCCTGCGGAATTTTCTGGTGGGGATGATGTGAAGTTGATTGGCTGGTGGTGATGATGTCAAGCTGGTCCCATATGGCAGGGGAGAATGCGTGCAAAGGAAATGGAGGCAATTAACATGACGCCTCTGCCCTGACTCTGCTCTCCAGATGTGAGGTGAGGACAATAAGGGAGGGGGAGGGGGAGGATGGGAGGGACCAGGGGCGGGGGCGGGTGGGGAGGGAAAGATGGGTAGGCAGGGAAGAAGAGAGGAGGGTAGCACAAGGCCGACTTATGCTCTTACAGGTGTGCACGGGAGGCAGGGAAGGCGAGGGCAGATGGAAACGCGGGAGGTCGAGGGGACTGGCATGAAGGGAACGGCAGAGGGAATTGCGTTGAAGGGACTTTCGTGTGACCGAGGGTGGAGGGTAGGGTAGGGGCAGGTAGACAAACTCACCACTGGGCAAGGCACTGGCATAAGACTTGTGACGTGCATGCACCCAAGAAAAGCAGCAAAAAAGCAGGAGACGTAGGAGCAGCAGCAGGAGCAAGAGCAGCAGCAGGAGCAAGAGCAGCAGCAGGAGCAAGAGCAGCAGCAGGAGCAAGAGCAGCAGCAGGAACAAGAGCGGCAGCAGGAGCAAGAGCAGCAGCAGGAGCAAGAGCAGCAGCAGGAGCAAGAGCAGCAGCAGGAGCAAGAGCAGCAGCAGGAACAAGAGCAGCAGCAGGAACAAGAGCGGCAGCAGGAGCAAGAGCAGCAGCAGGAACAAGAGCGGCAGCAGGAGCAAGAGCAGCAGCAGGAACAAGCGCAGCAGCAGGAACAAGAGCGGCAGCAGGAGCAAGAGCAGCAGCAGGAACAAGAGCGGCAGCAGGAACAAGAGCAGCAGCAGGAACAAGAGCGGCAGCAGGAACAAGCGCAGCAGTAGGAGAAAGAGCAGCGAGAGTGAGGAGAGGCAGCAGTGGCTATCTTTGAGTGAACTAAGAGTCCCCAGCAGGCCAGGGTCATGCTGTGGCTGCCCTCCATGCAGAGCACACACCAGCAGGCAGGCAGGGGGGCAGGCAGGCGGGCAGGCAGCACGCACCATTCATGGAGCAGCGCAGCGACTTTGTGGTGGTCAGCGGGCATGGTGAGCTGCATCGTATTGCCCTCCAGCGGCACGTGCCCCCCCGTGAACGGCATGAGCTGCCCCAGGAACTCCGTCACCATGTCTGTGCCGTGGTGCATGGCGGATAGCAGAGGGCGCAGAGGGAGCAGACGGACATCGATGGAAATGTGGACGTGCGTAATTGTCATGCGCGGTGGCACCGAGGGAGACATACGCATGAGGGATCAGCGGCAGTGAGTCAAGAGCAGAGAGCAACGGGGAGAGATACCGCAGAGGATGAGGGCCGGAACGGAACAAGGGAGCACAAGCAGTAAAACCTGGGTGTGAACCTAATCCAGTACGACCTCCAGCATTGGCCTGGCCTGTGATGCTCTGCTGCAGCAAAGCCACGTGGTGCTTGGTGTCAAGTGCGCACTTCATCATGCTCTCTGCGCTGCTCTGGTCTGCTCTGCTCGCACGGCCATCATGAGTGGTACCCGCTGCTCACGCCTCCAACTACCGACATGGCACCGAAGCTGCTACAGCAGTGTGAGCAGAGGTGGCCAGCGGCGCTGCAGCAGGGCCACGCCACCAGCTACCCCACCACCACCTCCCCGAGGCACAAGCGGAGCACCCACCTGTCCTCTCCGCCCACGAAAAGCCCCTCTCCGGAAACTGCTTCCTAGCCTTGGAGCTCTCAGCGGCACCCCCGTCCCATAAGTCGTGTGCTCAGCTCACCCTGTGTGGCTTGTGGTCAGCAACCTCATGGGCACGGACGGAGGGCGGACCAATGAAGGAGAGGGGAGCGTACCGTAATGGAAGACATGGCGCTCCAGGTACGGCGACTCAACCCACATGAAGCCAACGGACGGGTTGGCGAGAGCGGCGCGGGCGAGCAGCAGGAAGAACTGCGACGACACCCAGTTGCAGGCTGTTTCAAGGTGAGCGAGGTCCCAGTACTCGCACACTGGCAGGTCCCGCCCCAACGATACATGGCTGCGACTCGCCTGGCCATGCCTCGTGTGACACGGGGTGGGTGTGGGGCGCGGGGTGACACCGGAGGGGAGGGGAGGATCAGAGGAAGCAAGGCTGACAAGCAGGCCACCCGCGCAAGAGCACTGTAGTGACTGCGAGGTGCACTTGCGGGGTAGCACTCAAGGGGTAGGCATGGCACTCAAGGGGTAGGCATGGCACTCAAGGGGTAGGCATGGCACTCGAGGGGTAGGCATGGCACTCGAGGGGTAGGCATGGGTGGTGGGCGATGGGAAGGCACCTTGGGCAGCACGAGGGTGCGGTTGGTCATGCGGGCGAGCAGGGCCGCCTCCACGAGGTGCGAGCGCGCGTTGCTGAGCTGCTCCTCTGACATGGCGAACACCAGGTACCGCTGCCGCATGAAATCCTGGGGCGCGCAGCACGCAACGGGGAAGCATGGAGAAAACGGGCAGGGGGCAGGTGCGCACGCAAGGAGAGCCACTGAGGGGTTTCAGATCACATCGCCTGCTGTCACACAAGGGTGGTCACGGACACACTGAGGGGAATCGGAGGGGGTACTCAAGGCCCCTGCAGCCCAAGAGGTGGTGGGCGGGGATGCGCAAGCGGACAAGGGCAGAGGGCCGATAGCGAGGACGTGCGATTGGTGGAGGGAGGAGGAAGAGAGAGCGAATGATGGTGCATGCAGAGTGTGGCGGTCAATGCAAGCTCAGCAGCATGGCATGGCAGGGGGGGTTGCGTGGGACGAGCATGCATACAGTGAGAGAGGAGAAGGGCATGTGCGGCACGGGCCAGCACTCCTCCGGCCACTCGGCACATGCTGACGTTGCAGAACTGGTGCTGCAATTCAATATCGTGGCTTCCACGTCCTTGCTTCGCGCACAAACGGCGTCAATACCCGCGCTGATGTTCGCCATGCTCGTCTCTCCCTCCGCCAGCAGCCGCCGGATATACTTGCTGCTGCGCACCCGCCTTAGCACGCCCCGCCTCCACGCCTCCGTGCAGATCTGGCCCACGCCCGCAGCCTGCTGCTTCTGCACTTCCTCCTCTGGCAACGGGTCAGCTTGTGTCGAGTTGAATTCAATGCCTGAATTCGCTCCTTGCCCCCCCGCAGATTCTTTGTTGTCGGCTTTCGGTTCCCATAATAATGTCCTCGATACAGGCGAGTTTGCTCCGCAACTTGTTGACAAGCCGCTGCTGCTGCAGCTGCTTATCAACTCTCGATCCCGTGCCAACTTCGCCCACCGGCGCAGCGCGTGACACAGCTTGGCACGACAACTTGGCCTTGTGCCGCGTACAAGGGAGACGAGGATTGAAAAGTAGGATGACTCATCTGCGTGTTCGCGAAGCACGTCCACGCACGAGCGCGAGAACTTGAACCGGGTGCTCTCGCGCCCGACAAATGCTAAATACGGCTCGCGACGGCTCTTCATGTAACTTCGCGAGAACTCGACGATCGCTCGATGCGGCTGGCTGACGAAGTCCGGGAAGCGCGCGTGGAACAGCACCTCCCACGCGAGCACGACTACCGCGGCGAACACTACTGGCGCCCGCCGCATCAAGTGCCGCCGACGCTTGCGCGGACTCTTGCTATTACTGATGTTGTGACCCGCCTCCAGTCTCGACGAGGCCTGCTCCCCCCTCGCCGCCTTCTCCCCCCCTGCAACCGTCATAACTAAGGCTCGTCTTCTCGCAAGTGAAAGTCCAGGGAGCTAGCTGAGCTGGTCACGAGAATCGTGCATACGATGGTGAGCAATGTTGTCATCAGGTACCAGTTTGGATGAGACATCATCACCAAAATGTTGCTAACCCAAACCTGGCCCCACAGCGGCCTTGACCCCAGTGTGGCCCAAAGCACCCTGATAGTCATCTCAAAGAAACGTCACCTGATGGCATCAAATGTCACCTAAGAGGTTGCGGGATGGAGTTCAAGGCGCATTCGGGGTGCGCTCGGACCTCAGATTTCACTGGCTTTGGAAGTGAGGCTTGGGGTTGCCGCGGAGGTTCGGAGGCCGTACAGGCAAGGAAAATGGTTTGATGGAGGGCTGGTTCGCTTCTTGGCTTGCTTTTCAGGGTTTGGGAGATTAAAGTTGTTAAAGTTGTTTTTTTTGGTCGTAACCAGTTTACGGGGTATCCATTCCTGGATGAGCACGTGCTAACCCCTACTTGGGGCTGGCAGAACACGCCTGCACGGGAGTGGGTTCGATCCCAGGACCTCATCTATCGGAAGTGACTTTTTCTACTGCTTTATTTACAATGTATATGTGTACAAAAGATACAGACGAATTTGAGCATCAGGAGGCTACCTAACTAGCAATGGCCCAACTGCAATCCTAGGTTGAGACCCCCAATGAGGTCTCAAGAACCAACACCAAGGTACGCAAAGTCAGCCAAGGAGGGTGGGGTGGGATCTGGTGGGGCGGAGGGTGTGTCAACACTGTAACGAATTTGTGTCCGACGGCAGATGGTTCGAGCCTGCTCACGCTGGTGCACCAAGGAAATCCTCTTGAAGTAGCTAGTCTCGAAGAGCTCTGGAATCAGGTCAGATGCACCACCCATGTCACGAAGTCGAGTCGCCCCTCGTCTGCTGCAGTCTTTGATGAAGCTGAGAAATGCCGTGCTGAAGCAACCGAAGGTTTCAAGAACGAGAGGAAGAAGCTTCACGTCTGGGCGGTTTTGTAACGAAGATGCATACAGGGTCCGCTTCTCAGTTTCGCGAGCAGATGCAGCTGAGCCAATTACTGATGCAGTCTTGGAGTTTGGGGGACCATGCTGCGGGTCTGCAACTGAAACATCTAATGCCCACGTAGTCCCAGAGCTGATGTCACGGCAGCTGATGTCTGGGCGACGTCCTGAAAGAAGGTGGGAGTCCTCCAGCTGTACGACGTAACCAAGCTCGGACGTGATGCGATGAACCTCATGCTTGATGGCGTCATGGACCCTGGTAGGCTCGTTAGAGGATGGGCAGCGGAGGACGTGAGAGACGACTGAAGGGTCTGTGAATGCCGAGCCACAAGTGCATGTGCGGGTGGTCGTGAGGTGTGGAATGGGGAGGCCAAGACGAATAGCGGCTGCAATACACCACTCCGTAGGTGACAGCTGCATGTGCGAAGAACATGGAGCCACAGTAAGCCAATCGCCAGCATGGGGCCCTTGTAGGGAGGTTAAACGGGCCAAATGTTGGGGAGAGGTTACTGTGGATCGCACGCGCTCGAGCATGACAGCCTCCAAGTGCTGTGAAAGGTAGGAATATAGCTTCTGTGGATAGCCAGCGTGAAGTGCGGGCCAGGTAGGGAAGTGCTGCCGAATGGAAGGATGAAGTTTGGACATGGCTGTGGGAATGCATGGGTCAAGGCGGTCCATGGTGTCTGAAGCGATGAAGGGACGGAAAATAGGGGAGCCATGAATGGTGAAGCATGACGAGAGGAGTGAAACTGTCTGTGCCCAGCTGCATAGGTAACTGAGAGAAGCAGTTGCAGCTGAAGAACGGAGGCCGAACCCACCGAGGCGAATGGGAAGGAATGGCTGTCGGTGTGCTGTGGCAGTGTGGTCAAACGCAGGAGGCCAGTAGTCAGAGCCGATGAGGCGAACAAAGTGGTCCAGCAAGGTGTTGTCCCAGTCAGTGTAAAGCTCTTCTACCTCGGGAAATGGTGCAACTGTGCGGAGGAGGAATGAGGGACGGGCGGAAATGCAGAGAGTAAGGAGGCGGGAGGCAGTCTGTGGATCATGAAGGTCATGTAGGAGAGGCAGTGATGAAGAGAAAGAGTGCAGTTTGTCTCGAACTGTGGAGATAATGTGGGTGTCCGATCCGATAGGCACTCCTGCAACCGTGAGACCGTTAGGGGCAATGATGATGTCTGATGGAGGTGTGAGGTCCGAAGGGAGGTCCAAAGGGGCCCAGAGGGAGCATTTTGATGGTTGCACCCTCAGGCCCAGGTCATTGAGACGGGCTGTAAGCGCTGTGTAGGCAGGAAACACGTCATGCGCAGGACCGACCATGTACGTGTCGTCTGCGTAGGAGGAGATGAAAAGAGCTGGAGATTGACGCTGGATGGGGCGAATGGCTAGGTGCTGGGTGAGGGCGAACAAGAAAGGCCCGCATGGGTCACCCTGTCGAACACCCGATGATGACTGCAGTGTCTCGATTAATGGGCCGCTGCGGTAATGGAGAGAAGAGGGGGAGGCATAGAAGAGGCGGAAGAAAGGGATGAGGCTGGAGAATGGGGAGTCTCGCAGGGCGTTGAACATAGCGGAACGGCTGAAGGAGTTGAAGGCGTTGGCAACATCCAGTTCCAGCACAACCCACTCTGGGTGGAGGGAGAGGGCCGACTGGACTGCATGGGCCATAACCTCGATCCCTGCGGAGACAGCGACCCCAAATTGTAGGGAGGGAAGGAAGAAGTCCCGGATCTGCTGCTTGAAGTGAAGAGTAACGCAACGGGACAGCAGGCGCGGCAGTATCTCGCCGATGGCGATGGGGCGGACCCCTCCATGCGGCTTCTGGAGGGCAACAAGATTAGATGCGGTGAAGTAAGGTCGAACTGTTTGCGGGAGGTCGCCTTGCAGCCAATTGTGGAACAGGCGGAGAAGATGCGGCAGATGAGTCTGGTACGAGAGGAAGGTGTCGCGAAGATGCTCGATAAGCCACCCCGAAGGGCCAGCAGCTGTGCCTCGTGGGGCTGAACGCAAGGCCTGATGAAGAAGTGGAATGGTGAGCTGAGGCACTTCCGAAGGCGAGAAGTCGGACAGCCAGTCTGGAAGTTTTTCAGTAGTAGGAGGGTGCTTGGCCTTAAGCGCAGTAACAGTTTCAGGGGTCGGTGGGGCAAGCTCGCCAGCTTCTAAAGCGGCAAGGGAACGCGACCAGTCCCCGCAATGCGCGAATCGTTTGGCTCGGTTCAGTCGGGCGAACGTGGCTGTGGACCGGGCGGATGAGACACTGTGCGGTCGAGACGCTGGAACGGCAGCAGCGACAGCTTCGTTGAAGAGAGAAAGCCAGTCGCCTTGAATGAAACGACGTGCAACTGACTAGGCCACTTCTGGATTTTTCAGGGTTTGGGAGAGGCCTGATATTCTCTGGCGGCTGGGATACGGCGGTTGAAAACCTAAAAGGGGTTTTCTTCTTCCAAGGCACTGTTCTACAGGCAGACGGGCGGGCGTGGAAACGGAAACAAATTCTTTGCCTCGTCACGCTCAACCAATTCAGGAAACCTCCGCAGTCTCTGTCAGAAGTTTCGTGTCAAAGAGGAGGAAGCGAGATTCCCTCCTTCTGTATTGTTTAAGAGTGTAGGAATCTAGAGAATTCCCGGTTTCAAGGTCTACCATGTAATAAGAAAACTAGATCGACAGAAGCGAAGTCGCAATCAAACCCTCGACTGAGCTGGGCTAGTACTGATGTCCGAAACGAGTGGCACCTTCTAAATCGAGTACGAATTAACATGTAAATATACATTTCATGGGCATAGAAAAGGTTGTCCCTAGAAACATGTTTCCGTTTGGCTCGGACGGAAACAAACAGGTTTGACAGCCTTTTTCGGGCTGACCCTGCCATCGAACCTAATTGACTGCCGACTGAAGCACCCACGAGGATTCTCGCCATGGAAACACCTGCCAGTTGCAGGGCCAATATGAACTAGATTCAGTGCACCTGTATTTAGAAGGTTCAAGGCAGGCCACTGACAACGGCCTGGTTTCGTTTGGCTCCTCGAAGGCATGCAGACCCCACACTGTGTCAATGAAGTGGCAAAACAGGTTTATGTTGGTGCAAGTGGCTGAACATAGGCAGTGTCGGTGGAGGGCAAATCGTTGTTTCTATTTTTCAGAGACCCGGGGTCTCGGGACCACGGAACATCTACCCGCTTGATAGGTACTCTCCTATTAGTTACCAAAATTCAGTGTGCTCTTGCAAGATCGCACTCTCACCAGTCGAGTCAAAAGGTAGAAGCCCGAATGATCAACCACTAGCGAATTACTAAGTGAAGGCCAGTAGAAGAATTGCACTGAGTTCAGAGGTTGTGTTTCATTCAGCTGCGCGACCAATCGATTATGGCACGGGAGGTTACACTCGTAAGCGTCCAGAAGTCATCCAATATTATAATGAACCACCCCGGAGTGTTTCACGCCGTCCGGGTCTCAGATAATAGAAAAACCGGATGTGGACCCCGCTACTGTGAGCCCTAGTGGCGGTGGTATGGGGCTCAACAACGACCGACATGGTCAAGGGGTTGGGCGATCAGCGCAAATATTTGAAGTCGCTGTGGGACGGAAGCTGTAATAATGAAATTATGCGAATAGTAAGAACAAAGGAAAATATGAGAATGGTAAAGAAAACGTAGCCCAATGACGCGAATGGTATTATCACGAGTTTGTTAACTCCATTCGCGTGTTTGGTCATTAAATACTTTTACGATATGAAACTTCTTAAGAAGGCATTCCTGTATGCTGCAAGAGCCGACTCTACCAAGTACGAAGTCGATGGGTTAGAAGAGTCGAAGCGACGCTGGTAACTGTCCGACCAAGACCGATGCCGACAGAAACATTTAAAATGAAAAGAGTGTGAACAGGTTTGAAACGGGTTCTTGCGCTGCACAGTTTTGAATTCGCTGCGATAAGGAACTGTACCACTTGGTGTACATGTCTATTCTATGTCGTTTCGTATTCCTTTGTATTTCCTATATATTCGCGATGTATGCAGGGCCTCATATCGGTTTTGAGCTAGGCTGAACCAATCAGAGTTGGTACAAAAATATATGCTGAAAATCAGAAAAATCTGCCATTATATGCCAGTTTACACAACAAATCACATAAATTTTCCTGTTTTTTCACAGAAAAATGCTGAATAATTAGCCACAGTTTTAAAGGAGGTCTGAAATCTTAGCCTTTTTTCCCCAAATCAGCCTTTTTTCGCTGAGTTCTGAGGCCCTGGATGTATGCATGCTATTATCAATTGCTGATGTAACCAAGGGATCTAGCGGATAGGATAGAATCTGTTAAGTTGAGAGGAGACTAGGAAGTCTCTTGTAATGACCTTGTTGAATAATGATTGAAAGAGAACAAGATGATTAAAAGATAGGAGTACAAGAGATTAAATAGAAATCTAGCTAGCCATGTACTCTGAGCGGTACATTCCCTTATTAACTGTATTGCATAGCTACAGTAACGGCGACTATTGCTATCCTCGACAGTTACCACGTAGCGGTAAGTTAACTGTCGTGCGGTTGCTGGATCGTCAAGGGTCACGACCGTTGACTTTCTTGAACGGTTGACCTTCGGGTGACCCTCGATCTTCCGCATGCCCTATATGGGCTATTGTCGTACTGGTACAGTTCCTCTTATAACCTTTCGGTTATTCCAACACTCCCCTTCATTCCTGAAGGTGAGCCACGTGGGATTTCTTGGTGACTCCGCAGAGGTCGGCGCAGTGCTGGAACTGTTGACGTGGAAGCTTCTTTGTCAGAAAGTCGGCTGCCATGTCACCAGTTGGGCAGTACGAGAGTTTGACCTTGCCTTTGTCAATTTCGTCCTTGACGAAGAAGTAGCGAAGAGCGATGTGTTTCGTGCGGTTCACGAAGCCGGGCTTGTTTGCGATTTTGATCGCACTCTGGTTGTCGCAGAGTAACGAGAAGTGCCCGTTCATCGTCACTTTCGCTTCCTGCAGCAGCTCCATCAGGTACAGTCCTTCGCGAACAGCTGCGCTGGCGGCGATGAATTCTGCTTCGGCTGACGAAAGTGCAATGAGCTCCTGCTTCTGAGAGTTCCAGGAGATGAGTCCAGCAGGTTGAAGTTGAAAAATGAATCTTGTGCGGGAGCGTCTGTTGTCAACATCTCCTGCGTGATCAGCGTCTACGTAGCCGTGCAGCTGCAGAGTAGCTGTTAGGTTGGCTTCGTAGGTGAGACCGACGTCGGGAGTGGAGATGAAGTACTGTAGTGCTCGGCGCAGATCCAGCATATTCTCCCCTTCAGGTCGTTTCAGGTACTGTGCGAGCTGGCTTGCGACGTAGGAGAGATCGGGCCGACACGTGACGGCGGCGAACAGGAGACATCCCAGCTGCTGCTGATAGAGACGGTGATCGTCGGCGGAGAGCGGTGTGGTGTCTGGTTCGTGGTTAGGGGGAGGAGTGCGATAGGGTGTGGTGAGGTTGATTGGTGCGATGCAGAAGCGCTTTGCGAGCGTCTCGGCGTACTTGGCGGCGGAGAGGTGAATGGAGGAGGCGGACTGGGTGACATTGAGGCCGAGAAACTGAGTGACGTTGTGATTAACGGTCACCTCCAGCTTTTCTTTGATGGCGGCCTCGAACTGGTCCAGTAGCTCCGTGTCGTCGCCGGTGTAGAGGAGATCGTCGACGTAGGCGACGAGGAGAATGAATTTACCGCGCGATTCCCGCCGGTACATGCCAAGGTCGTGAGGTAGTTGAGTGAAGCCGAGCTCGATCAGGACGGAGTGGAGATACTGCTGCCACAGGCGAGGTGCTTGTTTGATCCCGTAAAGGGATTTCTGGAGGAGACACACGGCTCCGTCGTGTTCCTCGAATGCATGCGGTTGTTCGACGAAGATGATGGCGTCGACGGGGGCGTAGAGGAAGGCGCTTCCGACGTCGATTTGACGGAGCGGGCGCTGCTTGATGGCGGCGATGCAGATGAGGATGCGCACCGAGGTGTGGCGGCCGACTGGTGCGTAAGTGAGTGTGAAGTCCACCAGTTGCGTTTGCTCGAAACCACGCACCACCCATCGTGCCTTGTATTTGTCGATCGAACCGTCAGCGAGAGTTTTGATGCGGAAGACCCATTTGCCGCTGAGGATTTTTCTCCCCTTCGCCGATGACCCGGGAACCAGTTTCCAGGTGCCGCGCTTCTTCAGCGACGCGAGTTCGGCGGCCATAGCTGCTCTCCATTTGTCACTGTCGGGGCCAGATAGAGCCTGGCGGACTGTGGTGGGTTCCTTGGGGGAGGTGTGGCGAACAGCGACGGCGAGCCCAAGGACTCGGAGACCAGTTTCGTTGGTCTTTTCGTAGTGCAGACGGTCGTAGTCGTGAAAGCTGGTTACTTCAACCACGTCGTCGTCACTGTCGTCGCCGGGGCGAATGGAGTCCCGCGAGGTGTTGGGTTGTGGTAACTCTGCATCAGGTGATTGGCGTGCCTCGCTGTTGAAATCATGGGCTATACAAGTGATGTCGTTAGGATCCGGTTGGTGTAGAGGGACAAATGTTGGGGTTTGGAATGGGCTTGTAAGGGGGATGTTGGGCGCGCTGTCAAATTGGGAGACGTTTGATGCGTCCACATCTTCTGCCAGGTCAGCTTCATCTTGTGGAGTGGCGAAGCTGCGGTGTCCCTCGAAAACAGTGTTGGCTGCC